GCACTGACCAAGTTCCCCAGGGTATGGGCACAGCCCCAAGGCTGCCAGAGCTCCAGGAAGGTTTGGACAATGCTCTGAGGGACAGGGTGGGATTGTTGGGGTGTCTGTGCAGGCCTAAGGGTTGGACTGGATGATCCTGTTGGATCCTGGATGATCCCTTCCAACTCAGCATATCCTGTGATTCTGTGAACGTTCCTTCAATTGGTTGCCAAGCTAAGCTGAACAGACCCATCACCTCCACTTGGCAGCCTGGCCCAGAGCAGCAGAAGGAGCATTTATGCTGCAAATCATCCCCAAATCAAACACACACCCCAATCAAATCTCTTCCAAATCTTGGGCAGAACCTTCCTGGAGCAACTCATCCCCTGGTGGTGTCACCAGGCTGGGATGGGATGTCACACAGTGACAAGTGCACCAACACTGTAGAAAACAGAGCCCTATTTTAGCTCCTCTTCTAACACATGAGCTAAAAACCTGCATTTGAACCTTTCAGGTTTCAGCTTTTTCAACTAAAAAATTCTGGCTGTAAAAAACTGTTGTTCTCATTCATTTTACCCTCAGCTTTTATATTCAGTGTTGCTTTGAGTGCTGAATTCATACTTTGTTTTTCAGTTTCTGGTGCCACAGAACCACTGACACAGCTGATTTCCAAAAGAGAATCTGAAAACAATTTTCCTTACTTGACCCTCCTTACTAGAAAAGCCAAGAGAATAAATGAATAAAATGCCAATTTTTATCTAATCCAAAGGCAAAGAACTGTTCTAAGATAAAGTCCCTGCCCGTGACAGGGGCTTGGAACGAGATGATCTTTAAGGTCCCTTCCAACCCAAACCAGCCCGTGATTTTATGATTCCATGAAAATAGAAGGCAGGTTGCAAACTCATTTCATTCCCTCAATCCACCAAAACCCGTTGGAATCACTGGAAATCGAGTCAGAAAACATACAGATCCTTTTATAATTAATATAGACAGATCTTTCGATATTTAACGTGGACAGATCCATTGATATTTAACGTGGATGTTGTCTGCTTCGTTTTTGGTGTCTAAAAGGTTTCATGGTAAAAATAACATCATTAATCTTCACAACTGCTGAGGAATCAGTGGGTTATTTACAGCAGGAAATAATACCTTGGTGAGCTATGTTTGATTATTAAGAATAAACTCCCAACCCAAGGATGAGAGAAGGCAGCAGTTTTAGCTCTTTCTCATGGAACAAAAACTCAAGACAAACAGAGTCTTGCACAACCTCGCTGAGAACTCCTAAACCTCCTTGGGTACACCCCAGCCATGCCCTAGAAAGCTCAGGTGTTCCTTCAGGACTGATTGTCCCACCCTGTCCCACACGAACAGGGAAGGAGGAAGGAAGGGCTGCAGAAACCCCACTTCTATTGTTAAACACCCGGCGAAGCGGATCTTGGCACATCCCGCTCGGCTCAGCAGGAAAAACGAGTCCTGGAATGCAAAACTCCAGCCCAACTTGTGCTGCTCTTCCTCAAGGAGTAGGGTAAGAGGAGCTCTTACTGTGTGGCCACTTTCTCCGTGCCGGTGGCAGCCGACGAGGTGACATTCCTCGCCCGTGGCACATTTTTTGGTGACTGACGTGCTCTTTCCGTGGTCTGTGAAGAGATGAACTGTCAAGCAGTACTGAGTGCCTGGAAAATAAGATTTTAAGAGGTTTATTTGCATTAAGTACGTGTTTAAAAACTTCACGTGATTCGGAAAAATATTCCTAGGAAATTCATTATTTTGGCTGCACAAAGCTATTTTCAGCTTGATTAAAATAGCATTTAGCGATTACTTAGTGATGAAATCTGAAGCTTAACTGACCCTTCAAACCTCCAGGGAGGCTGCTACCATTTCAATTCCTTATTAGCACTATAATTTACACATTTATCTTCCATTCTCTGCTCTTTCTGGCAGCACATTCTCGCTTTGTTTCAGACACGTTCCCTCTAATTTACTTCTTCCCCTTTCCCACCATTACTGGGAATATCAGTCCAAAGAAAAATGAGGAAACACATTTCCACTCTTTTCTGTGGATCCATCATCCCCTCATACAGGTATGATATTGGTTATTCAGGTCCTGCTGCTCACAAGGAAGCCATTAAATCTTGGGATGGTATCCAAAGGGAATGGGATGAGGCTACAAAGACTATTTTTAACACTTAAAATAAAAAAATAATCTTTAAATTTAACTCCTAGGAAGCCCATAACTACATATATATACACACATAGAAAGACATATATAATTAATATTATTGTTATTATATATTGATATATTATTAAGACTTCAATTAGTATATTGATTATGTGTCATTATATATTATGTATTATACAAAATGTTTTATAAATAATTTTTTCACTGTTGCTATGTGCTCTGAAACGGTCAAAATATTCACCTCAGCAGGAATTATATGATTCATATCATCAATAACAAGACTGAGGGCACCACAGTTGGCACATTAATCTCATTAATCACACTTCTACAAGGTGATGAGTCACATTTAAGCCTCACATTAGTCCAGACTTACTCACACTTACTTTCAGGGCACCATCGATCTTCAGCCCATCTGTTACAGCTGTAATTGTCCTCTGCATTCTCACAGGTAAAGCACTTAAAACTCTCTGGAAATGGGGTGGCTTTAAAAGCATTAAAACACAGTAAGTTTGCAAGTATTGAGGAAAAAAATGGAATGTTCAAAATATTACCTGTACACACATATAAAAAACTCACACATTCGCATATTTTCAATGATATTTCTACTGTTAGAGGAATACAAGAAGTTTTACATTTTCAACTGGTTTTGCAAGGCCTGAACTTTAAAATATATCCTCGTGTTTTCATTCTTTCCCAAACCAAAATAAATCACTTAAGTGGGAAAAGCAGGAGAGAGAGAACAGTTTATTTACATCCTCGTGGAGGTTTGCACAGACACACAAACTCAATCTACATTCAAATGGCTCTGGGTTCCTTTGATGAGGAAAAAAAGGCATCTTAAAAAGCAGATTCAGAGCTTGATTTTCAACTCTGAAGGAGAAGTTGGATCCTTTTAACAAAGGGATCTGGAGGACTGGCTTAAAATCTTATTTACATTATTTAAATCAATTATTTTAAGGTGCACAGTTCCCTGGATGCACATATATATCTAATTTATCTGCCTGTCCTGACTGTTTTAATGATGCAGATAATGGAAATGAAGGGATAGAACCCTTCTGATGCCAGATAAGAGGCCAAAAAAAAATGATGCTATTAGTGACAACTGGCTTCACAGGTCCCACAAGGTTTTTAATTACCTTCAGACTGAATTAATTGCACACAGAACACCTATTCTTTCCCTTCACAAAACCCCCAACGAGATAAAAGACAAAAACCACCTGTCCTCTATTATTTATGAGAAACCCACTGCATAATCTGCTCTGCGGGGAGACATTTCAGAGCCAGAAAAAATAGAATAAAACGGGAAAGACCTTAAAATGTGAACTCTTTCTTTAGCAGTGCCTGCAATTGTTTGTTTTCAAACAGTCAACCTGGAAAATATTCGAAATAAAGTGCTGTGGGTTGCAAAGCAAAATTGTTATTTTAAACTTCTTCTCGTGTTTGAAGGGGAAAAACACCTAAAACCTAAAAGATTGGAAGAATACAGGGAGTAACTATAATATTAAGCTAAATATTATATTATATTAAGATAAAATATGAAGGGAAAATTAGAGATAGACATTAAAAAAAAAAAAAGTTCCTACTTACGGTCCAGGGGAGGCCTCACGTCGTAAAAGTTGATGTTCTCAGCTGAAACCCAAATTCCTGGAAGGAGGAAGAGCAGGAGAAAGGCCCTGGCCAGAGTGGGATGGAACAAGGACATGCTGAGGATTATTGCACATGGAAAGCTGAAGTCAGCCCTGGCAAAGGAAGAAAACACATTATTTTGGGGAAATCTGAGGAACCGAGCATGGAGAACAACAAATTTCCCATGAAATACGGCTGGAGCTTTGGGAATTCCGTGGGGAGGTCTAAAGGCAGCGAGTCTGAACTGCTGAACCACACAAAGCTGAGCTGGGAGTGCCTTCTGCTGGCCACAATCCTGAAACTTCCACAAAATTCAAGTTCACGTTATTCTTTTCCATGTGTCTGCCCTTCCAAACGATGTCAACCTCAAAGATTCCTTGGAAGGTCTCCTAAAAATCGACATGAAAATTAAACTCCTTTATGTCCTGCTTGAAACTGGAATATAATATTAAGAAAGAGAGCAAAAAAGCGGGGCAATGTCATTTTTAACACCACCAGCCTCGAGCCCAAACCAATTCCTTATCTGAGACAGATCAATGTAAGATTATTGACCTCAGATAAGCTCCACAATCTAATTCTGAGTGTAAATCAGATTTATTTAAAGTGCATCCCAAGGAAATGCTGAGGAAAAACCTGGGAATGGCAGGTGAGTTTTGGAGAAGCGCAGGGCAGAAAGTTCAGAGGGAGGAGACAAAATGACACAAAAATACATTTATTTGGTCCCCTCTGGGTCTCTACTAAGGCTTTATAGAGGAGGAGAATCAAGCACTGAACATTTTGGTCAGTTTGGTGTTTAGATGTCCACATACACACACAGGGATTTGTGGCAAACTGCAGTGGCACCGGGGACTGGTTGGGAGATTAAAAAAAGCAGGATCAGCCTCGCTCCACCCATGCAAATTCCCAGCAGGACAAACAAGCTGGAGTGGAGGCTCCAGCCAAACCAGAGGTGTTGCTTTGGGATGCCAAGGGCATTGGGATGCCCAGGGCATTCCCTCCAAACCCTCCCAACACACCCTGCCCAGGCCCAGGCACCAAACTGAAAAAGTCACCCCAGCAGCGAAGACACAGAATTTCCCACTTTTTCTTGCATTTTTTGGTTTGGTTTGGTTTTTTTCTTTTCCAACTGAGATGGTTTCGCCAACAAATCGAACACCAGAAAGTTCAATTTTATGAACTGAGTATTCAATTGTGATTTTAATCGTGAATTTTGCCATCCTACTGAAGATCTGCTTATTAAATCCTGGCTTTATGACTATATATGACTTTATACTTCAGTAGATCCTGAGGAAGCCTCAGCTCAACTCTACTCCCAGTGCACCTCCAACACTATTTTCTTTAGGATGGTCCAGATTTCTTTTGATTACAGCCCAGAACCCAAAGCATTAAGTAGAAGAGCCTGTGGAAAACAAACAGGAAACCAATCATTATAGTTCTGTTTGAAAGAAACTAATTAGCTGAAACACTCTATGTCCTTATTCACATTGAAAACTAAGATAAAAATTTGGGTTTATAACAAAATATCCAGAGAAGCACCTGAACTACACGTTTTGGCTTTGACTTTTTGAGGGCTGTGCTGCTGCAGAAATAAAAATCCCTCCTCCCTGTTACATCCCAATGCCACAAAAGACAAAAAAAAAAAAAGGCAAAGAGTGAAGGAATGAGGCTGCTCAGTCCTTCCATGAGAATGAGTTTACTTCTCTTCCAAGGGAAAACCTTTATCCAATGAATAATGGGATAAACCATTTCACCAAACCACTCCAGGTGAAATATATATTCCACACTCCACAGATATCCAAGCTTTCCACACAAGCTGTGCCCAAAATAGAAGCACTAATCAGGAACAAGGGAACCTGGAAGAGCAAAGACAACCCTCAGCCTCCTAATTAGAGGTTCCTAATGAACCTAATGAAGCAAACAGGTCCCCTTAATGTGTGGAGTTAAAAATACAACTCCAGCACAAGGAGGTAGCAATTTTCAGAGCCACACATTCCTTATCCTGATTATCCTGTGTCCCTGGACCATCAGGGATCCAGTTTTCCTGACTCCAAGAGGGCTCCTTAATGCACAGAGGCTGCTTGAGTGATGCTGGCAACAACATGAGGAGAATCTTTTTGGGGGACCAACGTCCTTCTTCATGGATTCCTTGTAAAATAACTCTGTTTCTCATGGAATCATGGAATGCTTGGGTTGGAAGGGACATTAAAGCTCATCTTGTTCCATTCCCTTCCACTTCCACACCTTCCACTAGACTAAGGCTGCTCCAAGCCCCATCCAACCTGCCCTTGGAGACACTTCAGCCCTTTGAATATCTCAAGTTATTTATAAATTAGCAACCCAGTTTTAATCAAGTATGGAGAGTTTAATCAAATTTCAGGCAGCTCGACAGCATTTAATGATTTCAATTTTCCTCTGAACTGAATTATTCCAGTGGCAGAGCATTTGCAAAACTTATCCCCTCAACCTGGACCTTCTGCAGCTCCTGCTGGGGTTAAGAAAACTTTCCCTTTACGGGGAGGCTGGTGTGTAACTGGATCTGAAGCACCTGGATAGCAAATAAAAGGCACAATTACACCTGTGCCAGTTTTCTACAAATCCAGGCTCTCTCCTACACCCCCCCCCTCCCCTCCCCCGAGTTCCTATCGCTTTCCCAGGACAAGCCGATGCCAAATGGAAAAATTCAGAGAACATAAACACAAAAAGGCCACTCTTTGGTTGGTGTAAGGCATAGTAAATCGACCTCAGGATTTGATGTAGTCAAAGGTGTCCTTGTTTGCCAACCAGGCCAATAAATAATGGATGTTGTTTGACGTGGGCTTGGTTACACAGCTGCACCAGGAGCCCTTCTCAAATAAAACAGGAAAATATTGGCCAAAAAATGGCTTTCATATCTTATCTGGCATCTTTAAAATGCTTGTTTTCTTCGGAGCCTCTCATCTCTGTTGTGCTTTCATATAATATTATCAGGCAGCGTGAGTAAATGTTTCATTAGGGCCAATTAGGAGCCCTCATTAACGAAGGGAAAAAGCTGTCACAACGTGGAAGATTAACTTACATAAACAAGAGGAAACATGGAGCTCCAGCTTTCCTGGAGGGAGGGAAAACAACCCAAGAGGGAAGGGCTGCTCATATATAAAAAAAAAAACAAGAATAAAGAACATCTCAAGAAAACAACCAGGCACACAATGGCTGAACTAATTAATATATTCCAGGAGGTTTTAAGGTTCATCTTACAGTGGTGTGTAACAGAAAAATAGGAAGCTTGATTTCTGATTTTAATAAAATTCAAACCTGTCTACATTGTTTTTGCTGGCAGCTCCTGCTGGAGGATTAGCAGATTGAACACGGAGATACGGAATGCAAATGAAACTTCCTGCTGTCATTTAGTAAAAGCAATTTTCAGGTGCTATTAGATAATTGCAAATGCTCCTGTTAAGCCTGTTAAATACCACTTCAGGACATAAGAGTTGGGGAATACACAGGCACAAAGGTATGTGTGTTCAGGGCTGAAAAAGTTAAAGCGAAAACCTGACGTCATCAGGTGTTCCCTGCAACAAAGCAGAGAGGCCAAAAAGTGAAAACTGAATTTATCTATAAAGGGTAAAACCCAGCTCCTTGGCTCCCCCATTTCTTAGGGAAAAAATGCCATTTTCACATTTTCCTCTAAATTCGATCTATAAGGCATCATCTACCCCACTCCAAAATGAAGAAATGGATGGAACAAATGAGAAAAACCCCTTTGGGAAACAGGCATTTAAAAAATCTAAACACTTAAAATAAAAAGGGGGTGAAAAGTAAATATTTTGAAGGGTTAAAAAACCCCCCCAAAATATTATTGCGGATCTGCAAATTATAACTATTTTTTATACAAGTTTTACTTTTTCTTACCCACCAAGTTGAAGTCTCTGCTTTTTGACTTTTTGCCTGTTATCACGAGCAGAGAATAACAGAAGAAAACATATTTTACACTCCACTGACAGATTAAAATTGAACTTATCAACATTATTTTTAAACACATTCCTTTACGTTCACCCACAGCACCCTTAACAATGGCTGGGATGAAATCTGGGGCTTAATTACAAGAAATTATGGAGTTCTTTATCTGAGATCTTAGAGAAGCAAAGCACAAACAGAGGTGGGAATGACAACATCCTTTAGCTCCGGGGATAATGTTGGCACGGGGAGGTGTGATGGGAATGACTGGGAGACACTGAGGTGTCTGACTACACAATCCACCCAACTGCTGTGACTCTGAAATGAAAATAATGTCTGATTACCAAAATAATGTCTGATTAACATGACAAACCCGAGAAGTACCACTGAAGTGAGGTATTTGCAAGGAGAAAACATGTAATGAAAGCTGCTTTACATCACATTCCTCTTACAGCCCAAACTGACGTTCACTTAAAATTCAGAATCCCTGATCATCTGTAGAAAATAGGTTTATGCCATCTCACAATCCATTGCACTTCCAGCTAAATTTAAATTTTTTACACTAAATTTCCTATTCTCTTCTGCAAATATTCCATTTCCTCAAAGGACTGCCCTTTGGCAAAGCTATGGATGAGCAAAAGCTTTTACACTTGAGCTTGGAACAGCTTCTCTACATCACAGGCAACTGGTTTAAATCTCTCTCTCACCTGTGCCAGACTGGGAACAGGAACTTAATATTACTCTAGGAAAAAAAAAAGGGATTTCAGGAACAAGCAGTGGTTTTTCTTTTCTTGAGCACTTTCGTACAAATCAGTTTAGAAAATTAAATTTAAAGGACATATTGAATGTAGGAGAGAAAAATCTGATTTTCAGTATTTTTCTTTTACAATTCCAGCCTTGGACCACAACCAATAAAAGTCACCTTTAATCCTTCCAAGGTACTCAACTAAACCTCTGGTTTTAGTTGGAACCTTCTCCCAAGTCACAAAAGGTTTGGTGTCGTGGGAGCTGCAAGAAGAGGGAGAAAAGGTAAAATACCTCTGTCTAATTTTATTGTAAGAGTCCAAAGAAAATGCCCTTCAACTGACACTCCACTGAACCCACAGGTACTATATTTTCTACAGCAACACAACACCAGAGCGATTATTTTGCCTTCATTTTCCCAAGAATAAGAAAATGGCCAAGAATCACAGAATGGTGGAATTTTTTAGGTTGGAAAAGGCCTCCAATATCATCGAGTGCAGCACCCCAAGGCCTTCCTGCCACCAGTTTATGCCAATTTAAGACAATAATTGCACTATAATTGGAAAAGAAACCCCACACAGAGTCAGGTTGGTATTGGCAGGGTTTGATGTGTGAGATTTATGGCGTTGATACCATCTCTGCCTCGTGTTTACACCAGCTTGGTGTTCCTGGGCAATCCTTGGAATCCTGTCAGCTCCTGGAATGCACCAGGAACCACTGTGAGAGCTTCTGGGAAGACACCAGCAATTCCCAGGGCTGCTATTCCATGTCCAGGGAACTGCAACAGCAAACTCCTGCTACGGAATAAATTAAGTTTGAAAATCAGGTGTGAAGAACAGCGAGTTTAAATATCGAACTCGCTTAAAACCAGAAGCACCTCAAGTCATTTCAGGTGGTAGGAAGCCCCATTTCTAAGAAATATAAGTATCTGAATTAAACTCCTTATTAAAAATGCAAATTTAACAGCAGATCATATATATGTGTGTGTGTGTGTGTGTTTATATATTTAAAAATTATTTATAAAAAAATATATTTTATCTATAAATATAATAAATTTACTCATTATATCTATAAATAAATATAGAAATATTTTTATATAAATGTATTTTATATATTTATAATATAAATTTATATATATTTATAATATGATTTTATATACTTATAATATAAACAAATATAAATATATTTATTTATTACCCATAATAAATAGATAACTTTTGCAAATTACATTTTATAAGGTAATAATAAATATATAAACATATAAATAATTATTATTAATAAATAATAAATATATACATATGAATAATAATTAATAAATATATTACAAATTGTAACTTAAAACTAATGGAGAAGAGCTGATGAAAATCCCCTCCCCTTGGCAGCACTCTGATTCCTACCACCCCTTCCAGCTGAACTTTTCACTCCCAAATTTGCCAAAGGGGGAGCTGAGCTGATCATCAGAGAGGTATTTTTTGATTATGTCCTTCAGGGAAAAAACTCACCTGACAGAACCTATCTCCACGTGTACCTGATGGCATTATCCCCCTCGGGAAAGGCTTGTTTGGGAAACAAAAGTTTGGGAAATGTGAACCCTGGAAAATCAAGATGAAAGGGGCGAGGAGAACCGGCTTTGTTTTCCCAAGAGGACTCACCGAGTCCGATTGGATTCCTCTCGTGGTTACAGGCACAAAAAGGCTTCAGAGGGATTTGTTGGGTTGGAAA